TACTCTTCACAGTTTCCAGATTTGAATATTATTAGTCATCGCCGGAGTTCTCAACAATAAAATGTACAAAAGGAGATCCGAGAGTATTTTTTTAGCAGAAAGAGTTCGGCATGGAAGAATGGTGAAAATAATTCAAAAAGCAAGACAGAAAGATTTATAACTGCAGGCATTTTAACTCAAAGGGTATTCGCATTTCCGCATCTGCCATATGCACTGTGAACAGCCGCACATAAATTTTAAGTAGGTGTTCAACCTTGTGGGAGGGTGTACTATAATGTTTTAAGCTTGTTTCGTGTAGATGTTGTTATGCTTTTGCATACAGCTTTAAGTTCGTATATACCAGTATCAAAATCCAAAGATGTCTGTCTGGATTAGAAATAAATAACATAAAATTATATATCGTAGCCAAGTTGAAAGAACATTGGTTTTATTCAGGCAGTGGAGAGGCTGGGGAAAAATATATTAACGATCAATTTATCTTATTGGAGCAAGTAGAACTCTTACAAATATTTACCTTAAAAAAGGGATATCATCATATACTGTGTGTGTGTGTGTGTGTGTGTGTGTGTGTGTGTATATATATACACATACACACACACATACACATATCAAATATGTAAAGCTGGCAAGTTATGTATGCCTTCTGTACAAAGGACCTCCCCCCACGAAAGCTTGCAAGTTTTCTTAGATCAGACACTAGAGCAGGGGTCTCCAACCTTGGCAACTTTAAGACTTGTGAACTTCAACTCCCAGAATTCCTCAGCCAGGTTTGCTGTAGCTTTGCTGGCTGAGGAACTCTGGGAGTTGAAGTCCACAAGTCTTAAAGTTGCCAAGGTTGGAGACCCCTGCACTAGAGGGCTTTTTGTCAGATGATAATGTGGAAATGAAATAAAACCTTTTTGCACAGGCGAATGCTCTCAGCGGTTGCACCCAGATGGATAAATAACTTGCTTCATAGTAGTAGGCTAACTCCTTTGTGCAAAAGGTGATTGCAAGAAGAAAGAGAGAGAGAGAAAGGAAGAGATGCTTTGAGCCAGAAAAAAAAGAGACCTCAATTCATTGCAATCTGGGATTAAAGTGGATCCTCCAACTATAATCAGCTGTCAAGAAATAATACAGGGAATTTGGGGTTTTCTTTTTCTTCTTTTTCTAAGCTAGGGTTGATGCTTGATATCTGGCTGTCTCAGGAATGTCATTGACTCATATATCCTTGTGATACAACCAGCCCTGTAGATTTATGGTGGATTACTTTGGAGAATGGCCTGCCCTCCACAAATTCTTTTCCACTTACAAACAGATTTTAACATTGCCTTCGGTGATACAACAACCCTTCAGAAATGCTGGGCTGCAAAACTGAGAAGGCTCAGATTGTAGGCTACATAATGCTAACAGTCTCAATCCAGAAGAGGCCACGGTGGCAGAAACCATTTCACTCCTCAAGTTTAGGGTTCCAGGTAGAGATAAGCAACCTCTTCTATTAGCACTTTCACTGACAAGATCGTCTTAAAACCTATAATCTCACTTGCAAGTTATGGGGCTGCAGCTGCACACTTTAAGTGGCCGAAGCTCTTTAACCAGAACAGGTGAGGTGGGGTGATTTCAGTCGACGTGAATGATTATGGAACAAATTGGGTGTTTGCTGCACAAACCCCGCAGCTTCTTTCTGGCTGAGAAGGGATCGTGTGGGACACCTATGCAGGATGAGCAATCAACCAAGGGCTCTTCTTTCAAATGGTTTTGGAAACATTATAGATTGGTGGAAGTTACTGCTGTAGATGGAAAAGATTTGACAGAGAGAATTAGCAGCCAGTCTGAGTACCATTTTGCCACACAATGCTATATGAGGTGCAACTGTTCTACAGACTTCAATCATACACCCACACCCCAGCACTATATAGAAATATATATATATATATAACATATATATATATATACATATACATATATATATTACACACACACATGCACGCACACAATTTTCATATAGCTGAACAAACTATAATAACCATATTATAGTTAATAATATCATTCCTTAGGAATCTTCTTTGCCCTTTAGTGGCATGCTTGAGGCACAAAACAAGAGAGCATTTGGCACAGTGTGCATGTGAAGACACACACCCGCACAAAACACACCACAGACAAAAGTGCAACCACTGAACATCCAGCCAAGAGCTGGAGGATGGCGTTAAAACCACAGAACTCTGGAAGAAGACACAGGATTTTGCTTGCAGGACAAACCTTGGGTTTCTACTTCCTCCTTCCTTTAGTCAAAGGTGGACAAACTGTAGCCAAAGATGTGCGTGTCATTCCCAGACCAGTTGGGGTTGATGCAACTCTATTGAAGCTCTTGAAGGCCACAAGATCTCCATCCCTGCCTCAACTGAAGGCTGCCACTAGTGCAGCTGCTATAAAGTGAGCGACACCATAAAACAATGATCACTTGGCAGGACCATAGTTTTATGGGAACTGAAAACAGGTCTCCCAAAATTGTAGCAAAAGAGCTCTTCCAAATGCTATCCCACCTGCCAGAATCTTTTGCCTGGCAACGCCAACAAAAGGTCCTAGATCCAGATCCAGATATGCAATTAAGACAATGCTATCCCTGGTAACTCCAGATTCAATAAAATTCTGTAGCGTGATTTTCTACCAGGCGCCATGATTCCAAGAGCTCCGAGTCCAAGGAATTTGGCCTGGTATAAACCTTTGATTGTATCTCAGCTCTATTCAGTGGTGGCATTTCAGTGGGAAGCAGCGGCATGGCAGGTGGGCCAAGGATGTGTGATAGCAATGTGCAGAGCAGGCTGAGTTTCAGTTGAAAGATAAACCTCATGAGACATTGTAAGAGAGAAAAGTTTCAGGCAAGCTTGAAAGTGGAGTTCCTATTTAGGAATGGCACATCTTCCTCGGAAATAAAGGGGTTTATATTATTGGTCAAATGTATTTCATTCTGTTATCTCTGAAGATTAGGTAAGCTTCTAGTAGATGTACTGTAGATGTACTGTACTACAATTCCAATTATTTCCAGTCAGCACTAGAAATTGTGGAAATTGTCACATAATGCTAGGAAAGAGTAAGTTGCCAAAATAGCTTGGAGCCCTCGCAACATGCTTGGAAGTTGCAAGATGGAGATACGTTTGGTAGGCACCAGAAATGGAGCTCTTCTCTCCATGCACGATGGCTTTGGATAGTTCCCTAGTGCGGCTTCTCTCTAAGACAACAACCCACAGAATGGGTTGATCTGTGGAACTCCCTTTCTATAGCAAGACTCCATGCAGAATTTAGCCCAAGTGGTATAGCCACAGAGGATCTGTGCTACGGATTCCAGCACCTGGTCGCCGTTGAATCCACAGGCAGAAAAAAAATCTCCATTGTTTACTTGATACAGCCAGAGTATGTAAAAACCAATGCCAACACGAAACAACCAAATGTTCACACCAGCCATCCCAAATGGCACCTTGCAGATGTGTTGCAATTACAAATCTCAATTCTGGGACTGGCAGCTCCAATATCTGGACTGGGACAATTTGAGGCCTCTTTGAGTATCGAATTTGAGAGTTCCTTAATGGACTAACCACTGTGGCTTCCACCCAAAAAGGAGAAAAATGTGAAAAGATTTCCAGGCAAGAACCTGGCTGATAAAACGTTTGTGGTCATTGCAAAACTCCCAGGACAATTGCAGTTCCTGGACAGATATCCATTTTAATGATCTCAACTGAGAGGAGTGGGGAATGTTCTTTGCAAATCATTTTAGATTCTGAAATGATATCAAATTCTCAGAGAACCTTGATGAGGTTCGGGAAGGAGGTTAGTCATCAGCCATTGGCACAAGGAGGTTGGACTTCTACTTCTTCACTTGCTCTCCATTGTGTTCCATTCCCTGTTCTTGGCTGGACAGAGAAAAAGTGCTAACCTAAAGAATGATTGGAGTGCGTGTGTGCATGTTTGTGCTGTGTCTGTGTGGATCTGTGTGTGGGGCAGGGGGAGGTTGTGTGTGTGTGTTTAGGGATTTCTAACAGTTGCTCTTCTTCACTCAAGTTCACTCTGTGTGTGTTCTCTTCGGGAGAAATTGTGGTCCACTACACTCTTGCCTTAAAGTGCACTAAGACAAATCCCAAATCAGCTGGCTATGCCTCTCAAAGAGACTTATGGCACCTTATATTAACTTCCCCATCCCAAGTGCTTTTTCAGATAGGCCAGTTCCAGCGTCCCAAACACCCAAGCTGGCAGCCCCACTAAACTCAAAACTCTGACATCTTGTGGCCCTTTAGGACCACTGGGAGAACCACTAACCTCAAAACTCTGACATCTTGTGGCCCTTTAGGACTATGAAATCTGCCTTTTAGGGCTTATGGATTTCTGGTGGCCCATATTTTCAGATCTACAAAGCTTACGCTGCCATGAATCAAGGTGCCTCAAGCTCCGTCTTGGTCAAGCAAGACAGGGATGAGTTCCTTTTCTCCATGGCTGATTGCAATTTGCAATGATGCCGTGCTCCCAGGAATGCCAATCCATTTTCATTTTCCCTTGAGGAACAGTGACATCTGCCTTAGTTTTTCCCCTTGTGCTTTCAGAGGCAGCTGAAGTCGTATTCCACTCATGTCCTTGCTGGGACGGTACTAGTGCATGCAGGGGAACATGGATTCAATTAAGCTGCATTTCTGGCTTTCAGACTGAAGCATCTGCAAACACTGCTCTCTCTCCATAGATGACTGTCCTTGCGGCATTCATACTGCTGCTTCTGTGGGCCAAAGCTTCAACCAAGTGCAGAAACTCTTCCGTGCAAAGCAATCACCATCTCTAATGCATGTTCCTGCTTCTATCCATTGGCTTCATGCAGTCAGGAGAGCCTGCAAAATACCGAATAGGAAAGGGAGGTCCTACAGGGCAGGAAATGAGTACAAACAGAGCAATCGTCGCTCCTCTTGCAGATGGCAGTTCTTTGATACAGAAGCATGTGCTTTTTCTTGCTGCCGTGAAGGGGGAAATGATGGAGGGGGGGGGAAAAATAAGGCAAGATGTTTGCTGGAAGATACAGATGGATAGCAGGGAGAAACCAAGAATGGTGCTCCAGAAATGATTAAAGACGTCCTCAATCGGTCTTTCCTAACTTGGCAATCAGCTCATCGCAGATCTTGGTCAACTCTTCAATTTCCCGGTTCTGAAAAATAAATGAAAGGATGAATAAAGCCCAGAAGTGAAATGCTGATTACCCACAACTTTCTCTGATGGAGCAAAATTAGTTAACATCCCCATCATGCATGGACGTTAGAGGTTGTATTCAGCTGTTCTGACTGGTTCTAGAGAACCGATAGCAAAAATTTTGAGTAGTTCAGAGAACCGGCAAAAACCACCTCTGGCTGGCCCCGCACCCGCCCTATCCTGTCCTATATTCCCTTGTTTGTTAGCTCAGATGATTCACACGGCAGAGCGGATTACTGTGCCTCAGCTGAGCTAAAAAAAAACAACAGCTCACCTCACCAGCGCTGGCAGAGGGCGTTTTCTGATTGCTGTGCGCGCAAAGCGTGCTCTCATAGAACCGGTAGGAAAAAATCTGGAATCCCACCACTGATGGGACATCCTCAACCCATGCTCCTTCATGTACAAAATGCAACCCGATTATACATGTCCCAAGTTTAGCGCTATTATACAGGGTGGGTGTTGTGGTCCGCCGGCAGCCTGCGGAGAGGGCAGCAGAATCGGACAGTGGAGAGGACCATGGGCCAGTCCGGGAGTCTGAGGAGGACTCGGACGTGGGTTCTGTATCGGATACAGAGATGGGCCAGGGCCAACTGGAAGTTATGTGCTGACTCCAGAGCCTCCAGAATATAACAGCAGCAAGGCAGAGGAACAGGGGGAGCCTGTTACCAGTGTTCGCGTGCGCAGAGCTGCCAGAGGGCAAGAGCAGTTAAGACAAAAGGGGCAACTTGGGAGTAAGGCTTGGAGGTGATTGGCCCTCCCATAAGACACAAAGGAGGAGCAAAGGGATATGAACCTTTGCAGGAAGCAACTATGTTCGTGCTGGTCAGTTTCAAACCTGAAGCTCTGTGTTGAATTTGTGCTCCGTTTGGCCTTGCACAACTAATTGTCAATGTAGTCGTTGGTAGCATTTCAAGAAAGATAAAGGTGCGTGCTTATCAGACTTATCCTGAAGGACTCTGGCAAACTTCTGTGGGACTCTTTACAAACTGTTTGAGACTCATTACGGGCTGTAAATGACTATAATTCACAGCCATTGAAATAAAATAAAAGGTTTTTGGGGCTAATGTGTGTTTGTTAATGTCTCAGGAAGCCTTGGTCAGAACAGGGCGGGTGTCCTCAAAGATCAGAACTGGTTCCTCAACCTGCTACCACCTTTGAATGAGACAGAAAGGAGTACCTTGTAAGATAAAAATCTGTGAAGGTCCAAACCCCACCTCCCTTTGAGAATGGGGGTGGGGAGAGGGGTTGGTCTAAGTTGCAAAATAAAAAAAAATGGAGCTCAGTCTTCAGTATGAATTGGCATAGCTGCCAGGAGGAGAAAAATCTCCTATTTTTAAATTTAAATTTCATTTCTGTTTCATAAAATATTTTATTTAAAGTCTTCCTTTAAAGCCTGTGTGACTTCTGAAGCTCAGTTCCACGAATATGACCTTTTCAAAGGCTTCATTTTTCTGCAATTAGTAATCTGTGCACTGATGTAGATTGGTTCAGTGGTGGTATGCTACCAGTTCGGTCCGGTTTGGGTGATCCGGTAGCTCCGAGGATCATCTGAGAGCAAACCGGTTCGGGTTTGCTCCGATGATCAGCTGTTTTGGCCCACCTGCCTGCCAGGGCTCTAGGCTGTGCTTTATACCTTGTTTTCCAAGCTCAGCCGATTGGCACGGCATGGCAGATTGCTGTGCGTCAGCTGTGTAACACACAGGGATTCCTGCAGAAGCTCATTAGCAAATGCTCTTGCTCACGTGCAAAGTGCGTGCTCACCAAACCGGTCGGAAAATATTTTGAAACTCACCACTGGGTTGGTTGCAGTTGAAAGACAGCTTGTGTTGCTCTGTATTTATTCATGCGATACATTAAAACAGGAAGTGCAGGTGAAAAATACAGCAACCCAGCAGTGATTTAGAAGCTAAAGCAGCTCCCCTTTAAATGTTCGGATGAATGCAACTGCATTCCTTAGTTAGTGAGCTATAGGGCAAGTTTCTTCATCTTTAAGTAAATAATGATAACTTGGTGCCTCCTTGGGTCATTGTTTCAGAGATATTCCCTTAGCTAAATAGAGAAATTGATTGACCAAGGGTGGCCAAAAAGCAGTGTTTCTGATTCTGAATCTGATTCGGATTCAGTAAAAGCAGGATCAATTTTTTTGACTTCCTGCTGGTTTCCCCATTGAGTTTCCTTGTGGGAATCTGCCAGGAAGCAATGGAAATCTCCCTCGTTTGAGCTTTAATTTGTTTGACAGACACAACAATACACACACACATACCCCAAAGCTAACAGCAACAGTGAAAAGTGTGAATGGTTCAACCACTTTAGGTGTGCATGAGGTGAATGTTCTTGAACTACAATAGTCATTGCTTTCACCCAATTCCAAAAGAAACACAGTGTGAATTTCAGACAATCTTCTCCAGCAAGAAAAGCAAGTGAAAGAGATGAAATCACCTTTTGGTGGAGGGTCCTTTCAAGAGACTCAACCTTCATTTGTTCTTTTCGAAGTCCAGCATGAAGAGCTGCACCCTCAGCTTTGGCCTTAGTACGGACCTGAGCAATTTCCTCATTGGCTCTGGGACAAAGGGGAGCGGGGCCACGGAGTAAAAAAGGAGAGAGAGAGAGAGAGAGAATGAATGGATATAAAAGGAAAAAATTCCATAATTTATTGAATGCAGTGGTACTGTCAACCCTGAACCTGGCTGAGGCCATCTTTGAGGCTTCAGGGTTGCCACAAGGCAAAAGAAAGGATAGGGAGAGAGGAAATAGATAGCTGGGGTTATGTAGTTGAAACAAAAAGTTTTCCTGTGGGAACCAAGGACATTCCAATAGGTGGCTGGGAAGGAGGAGTGGAATAAGCAAGCAACTGATCAGCACCTTGATTGGACAATGTGACTGATGACTTGGGGAAAGGGGGGGACTTTCACTTTTAATTAGGTGAAAACCAACAGGAATCTTCAGAGTCGGTTTTCACCAGTTGCGCCAATACGATAGATCCAATAAATTGTTCTTTGAGGAATCAACCTGCCTCAGAGTTCTGCTTTCAATGGGTGTATTACTTGGAACACTGACAGATACCTTAGTACTCAATTGCTTTGATACTCCTCAAATTTGGTACTCAACATATTTTGACCTGAACATTTTTGTCCCGGTATTCATTGTTTGTTTGGTACTCAATGCACAAGCTAGAATTTGTGTCGGCTGATTTGTGACTCAGTGCATTATTCCTTATGGGAAAAGTTTGTTTGTTACTAATCATCTTTGGTACTCATCATGTCTCCTGGAACCAATTAATGATAAATACCAAGATACCATGACACAGGAAATCCTCAACTTATGACCATTTGTTTGGAAACATTTGAAGTTACAATGGTGTTGAAAAAACTGGTCCTCGTAGTTACAATAGTTGCAGTGTCTCCATGGTCAAGTTATCAAAATTTGGGCACTTGGCAACCAGCATGAACTTACAACTGCAGTATCCTGAGGTCACATGATCACCATTTATGACCTTCCCAGCTGGCTCCCAACAAGCAAAGTCAATGGAGGAAATCCGATTCATTTACTGACCGCGGCAAAAAATTGGGTGTGACTCACTTAAGGACCACATCACTTAGCAACAGAAGTTCTGATCCCAATTATGGTCTTAAGTTGAGGATTACTTCTATCTCACTCCCAGTTCACATGTAACTTCAAACCACTGGCCTTTTCTTCTTTGGGTCATATGGGAGAGGAAGAGTCACATTGAGGGGAAAGCATGCAAAGCTGAAATGATTAATGAAGGAGAATATTTGTAGCTCAGGGTTGACATGAGGGCTCCTTGGTGCTCTCTGAGCTTGCTTGTTTTCTTGGAGACGTTTCATGACCCAGCTAGGTAACGTCATCAATGCTATGCCACAGCTCCGTTTTAACAGATAATAGATAATCAGAGTTGGAAGGGACCTTATAGGTTATCTAGTCCAACCCCACCCACCCAAGCGGGAGACCCTACACCATTTCTGACAAGTGGCACTCCAATCTCTTCTTGAAGGTCTCAAGTGATGGCACTCCCACAACTTTCGAGAGCAAGCTGTTCCACTGGTTGATTGTTCTCACTGTCAGAAAATTCCTCCTTATTTCCAGGTTGAATCTCTCCTTGTTCAGTTTCCATCCATTATTCTGTGCTTTAGAAAATAGCTTGACCGCTTCCTCCTCTCTGTGGCAGCCCCTCAAATATTGGAACATTGCTATCATGTCTCCCCTGGTCCTTCTCTTCTCTAGACTAGCCAAGCCCAGTTCCTGTAACCATTCTTCATATGTTTTATCCTCCAGTCCCCTAATCATCCAGGTTTCTCTTCTCTGCACTTTTTCTAGAGTCTCAACATCTTTTTTATAGTGTGGTGACCAAAACGTTTCATGCGAGGCATTCAATTAGTATGAAAACTCGTATGAAAATGAATGTGACCCCAGGATACTGCAGTTGTTCTAAGTTCATGCTGGTTGCCAAGTGCCCAAATTTTGGTAACTTGACCATGGAAACACTGCAACTATTGTAAGTATGAGGATTGGCGAGACGCAGGGAAAGTGCCAATTATTGGTCTTACTTGTCTAACTTCTCCTCCGCATGGATTTTCAAGGCCTGATAGCGCTGCTCTTCTTGCTTGACTCGATTGAGGTAATCTTGAGCGCACTTTTTCAAGGCCTCTTCATTCTGGAAGGAAAAGGAAAAGAAAAGCTCGACTTGGCTATGAACCATGGCTTAGAAACCACAATGCTTAGATTCACCCACTGCCGAAGGCCCACAAATCACATTTTTGGAGTTGGGACAGAATTAGTCCTTGAAAGTTCTACTTCAAGACCTTCAACCAATGATTCAGGAAACAGAACATGGGATCTTATACACAGAAGGAAAGGGTATAATTATAACTAGCACTTAGATACTTATATACCACTTCACAGTGATTTTTCAGCCCTCTCTAAGCAGTTTACCTTCTTGAAACCTTCCAGGACTCCCTTCAGGTTCTCATATCTCCTGAACAGATCGGACAGAGATCTCTCCACTGAATTCAAGTCAGACAGGGCTTGTTCCTTCTCCATCGTCAGCTGCTGAAGGCTCTTCTGGGATGTCATATTGGTTCTCTGTTCATCCTCTGTGAATTCAAAGGGAAAGGGTAATGATAACAGTGCTTCAACAGGCCTTTAGTCAAGAGCAGAGGTCTCCAAACCTGGCAACTTTAAGACTTGGGGACTTCAACTCCCAGAATTCCTCAGCCAGCATAGCTGGCTGGAGAATTCTAGGAGTTGAAGTCCACCAATCTTAAAGTTCCCAAGTTTGGGGACCCCTGGTGAAAAGACATCAAGTAGAGCAGAAGAGGGCAATCTTGTTCATCTTTAGGAGGTGTTTTTCTTCTGAAAGGGAGCGTGATGCCACTAGAGCGGGTGGAATCAATATTTTTATCTACATATTTTCCTACTGAGAGCTTTTGGAGTTTTTAAGAGGCAAAATATCTGTTTAAAGCTAGCCTTCCAAAATGTGGGTATTCTCCAGGTGTATGGATTTCAACTTCCTGTTTGTAGATTTACATGGCCATTGCTGAGAATTCTGGAAGGGAAAATCTATCACATCTGGTGGCTGTGCCAGGAAAGGGAAGGGTTTTACCCACCAAACCACCCTAAAAATACTCCTCCTTTTTTTACAACCCTGTAATCCTTTAATTCAAGGTAGAATCGGGTTGAGTGGATGGAGCTGAGTGTTAGCCGGATGTCCTCCCTGATGCCATGTGGAGTTTGCAGCAGATATTTTTTCTTTGTGCTTTAAGAGAGAAATATCTGCCACCACCTAGAATTGAACTCTCAACCTTCCAAGTAGGAGTTGCAAAATATTCAGCCCCATCCATTCAAAAGAGGTGCAGTTGGGATGCTGGAGGTATAGGTTGCTCATCTGCAAGCTAGGAAATTTCTTCTACTTTAATTCCACAATCTAAGAGGAACATATAAATAGCAGCAGATAAAGATAAGTTTTAACGGAGTTCCTCAAAATATTTTGTCCAAACTATGGGACCTCTTTGGATTCTACGTTTAGTACTTCACCTGTATTACAAGCAACAGATTGAAAGAGCACAGCATATGTTTTCTGTTGCAAATATGAGCAATCCAAGTACATACCACCTGGAAAGCTAGTAATATGCAGTTTGAATCATGCACTCAAAATCATAGACAAGGTTCTTAAATTATACTTAAGAGGAAAAAAAAACCTTTTTCTTTGATTGGAGCAGATTGTTTTTTTCCACCTGATTACTTGCTATTCTTGGCTCTGTCTCCTATTTATAGTCCACCTACAGAATCTACAGCCAAGGCATCACAAATATAAACAGTTGCAAGCCTCTCTCCATTTTCTGCACATTACGGAAACTAGAAAAGATGCTGGACAGGCTGACCTGCTTATTTGTTCTTTCCAGTAATTTGCAGATGAATAGCTGGCATTTATCAGTTGCTTACCTATCATCTGTGCAATGGTCTTCTCATATTCAGCCACAATCTTCCTAAAGAGGAAACAGAAGAAAAGATATGAGTAATAGAAATGGCATTAATTTTCTCCTCCTACAAAACCAAATGCATGTGACATTCTATCTTTTCCAGCAAGTTTTTTAACAGTATATTTCCACTTAAGCAAGCTGCTTCACACCCTGGTACTAAATGACTGGACATGGCGGTTCAGAATACTAGAAGTTTTGACCTGCCATATCTGGAGACCCACCAGATTGGAGAAGGAATGTCAAATACCGCTTACTGATGCCTTTCCCTTACAAATAGCTTCCGTAATTGAGTGTATATAAAGGTACTTAAGGGTTATTATACAGCAGTGGTGGCGAACCTTTTTGTTGTGGTGTGCCAAAAGCGCAAGCATGCACAATAGTGCACGCACATGCCAGCACCCACAATGCAATGCATCCCGCCCCCCTGCGTATGTATGCGCAACACCCCTGCCCTACCCTGTACCTCCACTGTGCTTCTGGAGCCTGAAAACGGGCCCGTTGTTTCAGCACTTCCAGCATTTCTGGAAGGCCTGATTTTCAGCCTTCCCTTGAGCCTCCGGGAGGCCGAAAACGGCCTCAAATGGGCAGAAAACCAGCTGGCAGGTGCACGCTTGTACAGTGCAGGTAAGTTTGGTGGGGCTCGTATGCCCACACAAATAGCTCTGCATGCCAACTGTGGCACACGTGCCATAGATTTGCCATCCTGGTTATAGGGGTACCTGCTTCACTATCAATTGGTTTGGCTTTCAAATCAAAGCAGGCTGGAATATTTGGTGGATTTGATTCACCTATTTGTCTAATTTTGTGCCTCTTCCTTTCAAAAGAATAGGGCATGCTTCTTCGGTTTCCTCCTTGTAGGAATCTTGTGAGGGAGGCCACACTGACCGTCCAAACTCTCCCAACAAAAGTTGGGGGATGAATTTGGTCTTCCTATCTGTTTTCTTGGTGGCCAATCCAAGACCTTCTCCCTCAAACCCTGTCAAAAGTTATGCTTGCATTCGTAGATGGAGGTTAGACTAAGAGCAGCCCAATTAATTTTGGGGCTGAGCAACTTCAAAATCTCTCTCCGTCTTCCTCAAGTGCTCCAGATGTGGTGCTTTTTAGTTCCCGTCATCCTTCAGAATGTCCTATTTTCACTAATCCAATCAACCCTCAGACTGAAGATCTTCAACTGAAGATCTTACTCCTTGCTTCACTGTCTTTATATTTATCCATGCGGAAAACAGCCTCAGCATCTTGAATTCATAGTAGGTTATCCTGGAGAGGCAGCATTTTTGTAATCAGATTAGAAGCTTAAGTCTTATAAGAACCATGGCAGCAGAGGTGGCATTCAGCAGGTCCTGACCAGGTCTGGAAAACCGGTAGTGGAAATTTTGAGTCGTTCGGAAAACTAGCAAATACCATGTCTGACTGGCCCCACCCCCATCTATTCTCTGCCTCCTGAGTCCCAGCTGATTGGCTGGGTCTTCTTTGGTTGCCCTGCACAGGAGAACGAAGCTGGAAAGCAGGTGTGTGGTGTGGTGTGGGAATGGAGATTTTACAGTATCCTTCCCCTGGAGTGGGGAGGGAATGGGGATTTTGCAGTATCCTTCCCCTGCCACACCTACCATGTCATGCCATACCCACTAAGTCACTCCCACAAAACCGTAGTAAATTTTTTTTGAATCCCACCATTGCATGGTAGCCTTTAAATTACAAGATAAGCTAACTGAGCGCAATGGTAGGAGATGACCAGGCTGGGCTTGAGTGCGGAGTCAAACGCATCATTAGTTTAGAGTCTCTGTGCTCCCATACAATACCAAAGTCCACCCCCAACCCCCAAAGTCCATTATCTGGCTCCAATTCACTTTGATATTAATTCAGATTTTTGTGTATAGAAAGCATGAAATAAACTTGCAATACTTTTGAACTCCGGCTGCTGACTTCCTGCACTTGACATCAACGGACTATATTGGGAATTTCTTAACATGGTGAATAGTCTCTATTAACTCAGTTAATAAAGGTGTCTTTCAATCTACATGAGGTTCCCATAGTGATCTGTGGCTGCGCACTTGTAAGCAATCTGAAACGATGGGGTATTAGCCCCACTGAGTTGTTTTTACCTCATTTCCAAAACTTCCTGTCGACTTCCTTCATATTTTCTCTTCCATTCATTGGCTTCAATTTCCTTAGATATAATCTAAAAAAATATGAATACAAAACGCAACTGTTAAGTTTTGAGAAGGCAGCCCCTCTCATCTCTGAAAGAAACGGGGTGAAGCTATAGGGAGGAGAGGTGGGGGAAAGAGGAGATAACATACTGCGATGCAGTGGTATTTCAGCTCTGTCACCTGCAAATACACCTGTGGATTCTGCCTGACGTTTAGTTGGACCTTCTTAAGGAATGCATTCTTTGCAAAAAAATATATGCTAGGCTACCATTTTTAAAAAATATTTCCAGAATATCTAGATATGATGTACTAAGTTATGGGCAGACACACCTACATAGGGAAGGTTTGCCAGAAGATAAGATGTCTCCTCTGGTTACAAGTGGTAAGACTTTTCTTAATTAAAAGTATCAGCGCATTGTAAGTCATCTTAGCTAAAACTAGAAGATAGCTGATAGGCCCAGACTCCATTAGTATCAAACTGCTAATAGATTTTGATATCTTTGGCTAATTTTGACATCAGTCTCCAGTCCTTAAGGATAGAACTGAATTTTGGCCCCAGTTCTAAGGACTTCTCCCCGATTGTCAAAATGAAGCAGGAAGTATGAAATAAAGAAACAGACACATAGAAAATCCTAATTCTATACGGCAGAGTAGGGGAGGATGTCAAGAATATTTCTAGAATATTTGTAAGGTGTACTATCTCCCTCAATCCCAAAGAATTCTGACAAAGTTCCAAAAATATTTGTCAACTCAAAACAATTCAACAATCATGGGTGACTTGCTAATCCAAGGAGCTCCTATTCTGAGCCAAATATATTCCCAATTCCAATCCTAGGGCTGCATGCAAGTCTCCTCTCCAGCCTTTGATACGTGTAGGAGAAGGAATGACAAGAGACAGAGGTGGGGTCAAGAGAGGAGTCAGCCTGGAGTCATTACATTCTCACAAGCGATCTAAGTCCAGCACTGATTTATTGCTGACAGTTGACTAGATTCTTGTGTTACAGGCATGAGCAATAAATCAGCTTAACTGGAACTCAATATGTGGTCCCGATTCTTCATACCTGACAGATACCCTCCGAAAGGCTGAGCCATTAAAGTCACCAGGAATAATTTAACAATATTTAACGAGCGGATTGAAACCCATTTCCATTTTTGTCCCAACCTGCAATTAAAGGCCACTTGTGATTCTCTGGCCAGTGAAGCAGAGCAAAGACGCTATGCCTTCATAGATGCACCCAGAATGTGTGGGAGAACCTTCAAAACAGCCGTGTTAGTCTCTGAAACATACAGGAGTTGTTTTTTTTTCCTTTTTAAAAAGGGAGCATTTTGCTTGTCCCAATGCCCGTTGACCAAGTGCCTCTTTAAAACTTTGCACCATCTAGAGAAAAGCCCTCCAATGACAAACTGTTACCTCTTCTCTGATCAGAGTCAGAACTGCTGTCTTATCAGATTCGCTGAGGCAAATGGCATCCAGGGGGCTTTCAGCCCCTCCTCTCGTGCTGCCTGGCGCATCTCCAGGTGCCTTTTCCATAGAACATAGTTCAGGATTACTCTGTGGAAGGAAAGACCAGAGGGTCAGAGCAGGAATACAACCAGCCCTTTTCGAAGTTCCACCTGGCTTCTCCTACCAGACCACCAGTTAAAACCAGGGGTGCCAACAGGGGTGGGATTCAATTTTTTTAACAACCGGTTCTGTGGGCGTGGCTAGGTGGGTGTGGCCATGTGACTGGGAGGGCGTGGCTTCTTTTTTTTTTTTTGCAGCACCCCTCTCTGTGCTCCATTTTTGGGCCTCCTGGGCGAAGCAGTAAGATAACAGCTGATAATCGGAACAGCCGGCACAGCTGATAATCGGAACAGCTGATTGTCGGGAGGGGAAAAAAAGAAATACCTTAAGAAGGGACTGGGTGGGGAAGGACGCAGTTGGCGATGTCAGGCATGTGCGCAATATCACGCGTGCACGATAAAGACTGACTGGGTGGGGAGGGGAGGGGGCGGGCGGAGAGGGGCAGGACCAGCCAGGGACATGATTTCCCAGTTCTCCGAACCATGCGGAATCATAATAAGCGGTTCCCTAGAACCAGCCTGAACTGGTAGAATCCCACCCCTGGGTGTCAAACTGGATTTCTCTGACGGGTGGATCCGCACTGTCGTTCTCCTCCATGGACCAGTGGGGAAGGAGCAGAGGGGAGATGGGACGGACGCCTCCTGCAGCACCCTTGCCGGCCAAAATGGGGGCATGGGGAGGGCGTGGGCGGCCCCCCCCATGCCTCATTTTTGACCTCCATGGCCTCCTGCATCAGCCTCCCAGCCCAAAACGGGCCACACAAGGCCCCCACACGGTCCATTTTCGGTCTCCCCAGCCACCAGCAGCATTGTACCAGCCAAAAATGGGCTGCGTGGAGACCTCATGAGGCCTCCATGCAGCCTGTTTTGGGCTGGCAGAGTGCTGCTGGAAACTCAAGACCCCCCCCCCCCCCCCGTGAGGCCTCCACGATGCCTGTTTTGGCCAGTAGAGGCACTGCGGGCCAGTCCTTTGATATTTTCATGGGCCAGATTTAAGCACCCGATGCAGAGGTGGTATTCAACAGGTTCTGACCAGTTCTGGAGAACCGGTAGTGGAAATTGTGAGTAGTTGGGAGAACCGGCAAATACCACCTCTGACTGGCCCCGCCCCCATCTATTCTCTGCCTCCCGGAGTCCCAGCTGATCAGTTGGGTCTCCTTTGGTTGCCCTGCCCAGGAGAACGGAGCTGGAAAGCAGGCTAGTGGGGTGGGAATAGGATTTTGCAGTATCCTTTCCCTGCCACGCCCACAGAACCAGTAGTAAAAAATGTTGAATCCCACCACTGACCCCACGGATCAGATCCGGCCCGCAGGCCTTGAGTTTGACACCCCTGAGGTAAATAGACCTAGCCAAGAAACTTCTGATCAAAGAGTTTTACTGTCGAAAAGCTATGTGGCCATACGAAAGACTTCTGCTAACTGTGTCTATCAGGTAGGAGTCTTATTGATAGTGCAGTCAGTGCTCAAATTCTTGTGCCTTTTTCCCCCTGCCTGAAGTATGCAATGAGCCAGATGGCCTTTTATTTCATGTCCCTTCTGGTAATAGGTAGACCTACTGTCATGTGGTTTTTTTTGACTGTATGTGAACTAACCCTCACAGGTTCTCCCCAAATTAGTGATGCCCAAACCAGGAATCCAAAACAACAGCCTCAGCAGTTTTGAATATGGAGTTGGGTTGGCTCAAATTTGCCACTAGGGCAAATCTAGCACTTAGTATTGATCTATTGGTTTTTTGTTTTTTTTTGCAGATGTAAAAGGATATAAATGTTGTTTGGAATTATCCCTGGATAGACGTATATGTAACATTAGTTAATTCCAAATTTAGAATTCTGGATATGAACAAATTCAGAATCTGAACTTTTGTGTGGGATAAACATCAGAAAGTGTAGCCATGACTGGGACCTGAAAGGTCTGTAGTCTTTTGTGAAATGAATGGAACATATTGCTTTACAGGACCATATTAATTGCAAAAATAAGATTCTGGCTTTTTCAAATGATTCTCAAATAGCAGGTAAAATAAACAGTGTACACCTAACTGACCATTTATACACAATACAGAATAATAAAAGGAACCTTGGAGGTCTTCTAGTCTAACCCTCTGCTTGAGCAAGAGGCCCTAAATCAATGGTCTTCAACCAATGGGCCAGGGACCATTGGTGTCCATGAGAAAATTTTGGTGGTCTGCAGAGAAATGTCACCCCCAAAGCAATTAATCCAGGCTGTGTGGGAACACAAGGCTGCGCCACCCACAAGGCCCATGGGAACACAAGGCTTGCGTCACTTGCACTGCAAACAACACGAGATAGTGAGGGGAGGGGGGAAAGGGCGGAGGGGGGTGGAAACTTGCCCCGCTCGCCCCACACACCTCATCTGGCCACTGGGCTGTTTCTTTCCGCTTCTTTCTTCCTTTGCTTTTGGATGCACGCAAGGAAAGCAGCAAAAGTTTTTCTTTCTCTCCCCCAAACTCTGCCAGAAATGAGTCTTTAGGACCCTGCAAGGCATCCTTGCTCCAAAAGGCTCCAAAGACTCATTTCTGGCAGAGTTTGGGGGAGAGAAAGAAAGACTTCTGCTGCTTCTGCTGCTTTCCTTGCATGAAGCCAAAAGTCTCTCTCTCTCCCCCCATGAGAACGGAGCTGGAAACGGTATCCTGCGATCCCAAATAAAGAATGATTGATTGGTAGGAAAATGGAGTGGGGAATTTTCCTGCAGACTTTTTTATTTTTATTTTCCCAGGGTCTCTGGTCCGCAGGATTTAAAATTATGAGTTTGGTGGTCCCTGAGGTCCAAAAGGTTGGCAACCCCTGCCCTAAACCATTCTGGACAAATGGTTGCCCAATCTCTCTTAGCCTCCAGTGGCAGAACAACCCACAAATTGTTCTCATAGATAGGAAATTTGTCCTTAACTCTAGGTTGGATCTCTCTTTGATAAAATTCCATCTGTTGCTTCTTGTCCTGCCTTTAGGTGCTTTAGAGAATAGTTGACCCCCTCTTCTTTGTGGCAACCCCTTAGATATTGGAACACTGCTCTCATGTCATCCTTGGTCCTACTTTTCACTGGACCTGACATACCCAATTCCTTCAACCGTTCTTCATACAGTATGTTTTAACTTCAAGTCCCCTAATCCATCATTGTTGCTCTTCTATGCATCTTTTCTAGAGTCTCCAATATCTTTTTTTTTTTGTATTTTGTATTTGTATTTAGTATTTATCTGAAGAACAAACATGAAATCTCTCATTGGATACTCTGGCGAACTGGACTGGAACAAACGAAGCAACATTGGGATCAGAGTAATAATGAAGTTGCTATTCTAAAATCAATTTTGTTCCATGCTGCTTTCCATTCAGTTTCTCCAGTGTTAGAAATCAGCTAATAAACAAGTATTCTTTTTTTATTAGAGCTGCAGTGAAGCTTAGCTGTCAGCAGAGGTCTCTGTAAAGGTAGTATATTTTCTCTATATCTTAGCTCAAATCTTGAGCTTGTTCCCATGTTAGTATTTTGCAAATGAGAAATGAAAGGAAAGCACCTTTGGTTTTTAAACATTTTAGGAATGTTGGATGTAATACCCCTCTGAACAGAATTCCCACTTTCTGTTCTTGTTCTCTCTCTCTCTCTCTTTTTGCAAAATACCACATTGGTATCATTTTACTATGATATTATAATTTTATTAGACTGAAAACTCTTCAGGTTTCCAGATCTTGATGCAACAGGCTTGGCACGCAGCAGATCAAGGTCCACTGGAATCTACATCATTTTCATAAGGACAATGTTATACAGCTAATATGGTCATTTTTTTACACCATCATCACGACGTAAGAACCACAGTGGCGCAATGGTTAGAATGCAGTACTGCAGGCTACTTCTGCTGACTGCTGTCTGCCTGCAATTTGGCAGTTCGAATCTCACCAGGCTCAAGGTTGACTCAGCATTTTATCCTTCTGTGGTCAGTAAAATGAGGACCCAGATTGTTAGGGGCAAGAAGCTGACTCTGTAAACTGCTTAGAGAGGCACTGTGAAGCGGTATATACGTCTAAGTGCTATTGCTTTATTTGATTTAAGCTGAAGGCAATGATTCGACTACAATGTATTCTTGTGTTCTATGCAAAGACAGTAAGTCTTAAGATAGGTAAGTAGTAGTAAGATAGTAGTTAGAAACAGATCATCAGCATGGAATTTAGCAGAAAGAGTGGTCCATGATTTTGGACATGGAGGTTAAGAACAATACTTGTGCTTACTGATATATCACTTGAGTTATTCTTCTCTTCCAGTCTGCACAAAGATTCTTTCTCAGAACCTACAACGAAAGAACACGAGGTGATTATACATTATGACAACAAGGTTCTTCCTGGTGAAATAACTGGATTAAGAAAGAGGCATGCAACACACAACTCTATGACAGTACTTGAAAAAGACGAATGTGAAACTCAAGGAGGATTTTCACTGAACGGAGATCAGGACGCCCCAAGTGACTATCAATATAGTTTCGGGCAGCATCTTCTTAAACCATGAGGTGGAGGTTGGCGGATTGTAGACAATGATCCAAATTCTGAGACCTAGGGATATCACCCTACAAAAACACCCATGAGGTATACCCAGAAAACCTTCTATCTAGACCAGGGGTGTCACACTCAAGGCCCGGGGACCAGATCAGACCCACGGGGTGCTTCAATCTGGCCCATGGGACCACCTTGGAAATGGAGCAAAGGACTCCATTTTCACTGGCAGAGGGTTGCAGGAAGCTGTCGAGCTCGGGGCCACATTTTCTCTGACAGAACACTCGAGCTGCCACTGGCGCCCCTGACATGAGTGATGTCGAGTTGGCCACGCCCACCCTGGTCATGCCCACCCCGCACCACCACCCCCGCGAGGTCAAACCCAACCCTGATGCAGCCCTCAATGAAATCGAGTTTGACACCCCTGATCTAGACAGATCATTATCACAACCGATGGGGCAAAAAAAAAAAAAACCCAGCAGGGAACCACTGTTTGATGTCTGTGCTTCAAGCAGCAGCAACAGCAGCAACAACAAAACTCCATGTGACCCTGAATCAGGTTTTCTGCAAATTTTTCTGCAAAGGTAGGGGGAAAAAAAGAGGAAAAGATTGAAAACGAGTCTCCTGATTGCCCCGTGGAGCAC